CTTGCTCCAGCTGGTGGTACAATATTCGGAGGCGGTATCGCCTCTCTGATCCTCTAGTTATGGTTTTGTATACTTCACCTTATGTGTACACACAGGTCCAATAGCAGGAACTCCCTCCCCATCTACTTCTCCAGGATACCCATTAAGGTACAGTATGTAATAGGGACTATTTAATATATTACATGAACATTTCAGCTCTTTTACTTTCATCACCAATGCATGCCGTGCCCAATATTTCACAATATTATGATTCATTGACTTTTCAAATTACTTTGAATTCATAATGGAGGTAGTAACTAGTAAATTTTACTCATGATGGTAAAAATGTGAAATTTATTATTAGAAAACTGGTTTATAGATTGTAATAATTTTTCTACAGTTTTAGATAGAGCTTAAACTCCAACCCCGGATTAAACCTTTGTAAATTTCTTGGACATTTTTTTGCTTACCAAATCAGGGTCTGACCTGAGTGCATGCTTTTTACTTTGCCATATCATATTTCAGTTAACTTTTAGTTTTAGTTAGCATTAATTAGAATGTAATCAGTTCACTTTTATTTACATATATAAATAAAGGGAACTGAATTATGATATTATATAATTATGTAACTTAATTATTATAATTTTGCAGGCTTGCCTCCACACCTAGTGGCCTCAGTGCTGACACACCAAAAAGGAGTGCTGGTGGCACTGCCTCTCCAATGAATATTAGTCCAACTCCATCACAGAGAATTTCATTGTGAGAACATAAACGCAAGAATAACTGAAGTTGTTATGATTTTTTAAAAATCTGTCTCTGATTATACTAAATATTTATAGACAGACATTGAAAGCTCAGAACTCAATTTTGTGTATATTATGTCAACTGGATGTCTAGTCAAAATGATAATAATCTTAGGTTAACTTAATATACTGAACAAAAATATAAACGCACAAAACTAAAATGGTCAGTTGAAATGGATAATCATGAAATATGCCCAGATTTATGGTTTATTTGTGAACTGATGGATTTGTTTTGATCAACTGTAGTCATCTGGTTTCACTTGGCCGCTCCCCGTGAGTATACTCAAAGGTTCAGTTTTTCCACCCGTAAGTCTCATGGAGCATGATGGAGTGGAGTTAAATCTGCATGACCAATACACAGACACTCCTTACAGTTTAGGCAATAAAAGGGCACACCAAAATGTGCATTCCTGTTACTTGTCAACATGCCACAGATGTCTGAAATCATGAGGGCTTGTCGGTAACGAATTAATTTGCAGCATGCCTGAATGTGCTTCATTCCACTGTCAGCCGTCTGAGAACATGTTTCAGAGACACTGGTAGTACTAGGAACTGCCCACATGCCCGCCGACCACCTGTTACCACACCCAATATACCGCCCATCAAACACCTGTGTGACGTTCTGGATCAGCGTTTTCGCCATCATGTTCCAGCTCTCGAGAATGTTCGCCAACTGCGAGTAGCACTCCAGGAGGAATGGGATAATATCCCTCAGGCCACTATTGACAACTTAGTGATTTCCATGCGCCGCTGGTGTACTGCTCTGAGCAAAGCTAATGGTGGCCCTACTCAATATTAGTGTCTGTGAACTCAGGATGTTGACCCCCATGGTGTAGTTGATGCCCTAACTCTTGGACTATATATATGCATTTCAACTTCCCGCAATGCTCTCAAAGTGATGTCTATTTGTCAAGGAAAATATGCTGTTATTGTTGGCTATATTATACTCTGGTTCCATACATAATATTGACATATTCTTTCGTGCGTTTATATTTTTGTTCAGTGTATATAGAGAAACTAAATTATAATTTATAAAAGAAGAGACCTCAATTTTCCTGGAAGCTAATCTTGCTCTGTGTTTTGGTCTTTCTGAAATGGTGCACTTAAATATGATATATACTTATTGGCCTATGTACTGATGTGTAGCACTTTATTTTGATCATACATGTAGGAATGGACTTACAAGAAGCCAAGGAGGATACAGTACACCTACATCTTATCAACAGTTTGGTGAGACATGTTTTTCCATGAAATGCCAGTTAAAATCAAGGCCTGGATAACTCTTCTTTTCATATAGTCGGTACTCCAGTCTTAGTTCTTGAGACCACAACTTATTTGATAAACAGTTTGTCAGAAACTGTATGATGTTTGTCAGATAAAGTGACTGTTAAAGAATACAGAAGGATACTCAAATTTGTTCCATTTAATATGCATGCTACATATGTATAAGATTCTTTTATATGTTTAAATTTCATTGTAGGAACATCCCAGAGTTTACTTTGGAGTTCTGCCAAAAGGCAGCAGCAGGTAACTTAAATTGCTTGAATTAAATTGTGTTTCATTGGTTTAATAATAATAATCATCATAGTAGAGTTTTATCTTACATATTCCTGCTTGATAAAGAATACTGACTATATATTACTAATATATACCTGCAGTTTCTACAGCATGATGTCAAGCAGTCAGTCAATATTGAAATCAGCAGAAGTAGATTGATAATGTGGGATAAAGTAGAAACACAAGAGTGCAATGAAATAGTAACCATGGTGCCCTGATTGGTTAATGGATTTCTTGGCAACATCATAATTGATACGAAACCAAGCAACATCATAATTGATATGAGACTAAGTGCAAAAAAATATTATGATAAAACTGAGATTACTTTCTTTTTAGCTTCCATTGGAAAGGAATGATGGGTAAGCAATTGCAAACTGCATTTGCAAAGCTGTTGGGTTTACATTTTTATATTTAGCTTGTTTCAATGAGATTTGTCCTTTTGCTTAAGCACTGTTACTTTCTTATCCATCAGCTTTATTGGGACTTTTATTTATAGTTAAGATTATTGATTTTAATTAGAGATTTTAACATTTATTGTAATTATTACAAAAGCTACCATCATGATGGTACTTACCAAATTGTATCAATTTGAATGTTATTTTAATATTTCAGCAGTCAGTTTTTAAGTATAGGTGGAAGGATTTCCCCTGGTGCTCCTCTAACAAGTACGCCAACAAGTAAGAAGTTTTTACAGTGGTATACCAACTGCGGGTTGGGTATAGTGGGAGAGCGAGGGAATTAAAGCACAGAGGCTCTTAACATTCTCCACCCCTTTGTCAATTAAAAGTCAAAGAATGACGTATTCATAAAATAATCTTATACATCATGTATTTGTATGAAAATGATCCTCACTGTTTTGAATTGTGCATAAATAGAGAGCATTTATCTCATTTGGCTTGTATAGTCAGCCATTTTAAGTGGGTTCTTTTCTGAAAAAGTTTAACCCCGGGACCAACTTGAGAAATGGCATAGAACCTACCCAATAGATCAAATATTGATTCAGCCCCCATTGTTTATTGGACCATTCAGATTGAGAAGAGCCGAGTGCTAGTAAGGCCAGGACCTAAATATGGCAGACCTATATACATGAGAGGAAGACCGCTAAATCCTGTAATGGTCTCCGCCTCTCACACGCCTCCCCACGCATTGTCCCTTGACTGGTTGAATTGAGCCAAGATTTAATTACTGTGCCCCTGCAGGGACGATGCGTGGTGAGGCATGTGAAATATGATGAGACCATTACTGGATTAAGCGGTCTTCCTTTCTGTAATGGTCTCTTCACCTCTCACATGCCTCCCCTCGCGTCATACCCGCAAGGGCACAGTAATTAAATCTCAATTCAACCGGTCGAGGGACAATGTGTGGGGAGGTGTGTGAGAGGCAGAGAGACCATTACAGGATTAAGTCATGTTCCTCGGCACTCGGCTCTTCTCAATCTGAATGGTCCCTTTATGAAATCATATTGCGATATATTTGTTATTAATATAATTTTTTTTGTGATGGTATTTTTTTCAGATTCTTCTCAAGTTTGGGACCCAGCAAAGAGATGCCTTGTTCAGGTTTGTTCTTATTTTCTTATTTGTTTACTGGTACCACACAGGCTGTACTAAAAGTTAAGACCAGATTCTTTTGTGAAACTAACTTCAGAACATTATAGTCTATGTTTTCCCCATTTCAGATGCCATTTGGTGTGGGAAACAAGTAGTCCATTACTTGTGAAACATTGAGGAACTCCTTGAACGAACAGAGAGCATGCATTGCCAGAAATGCTCTACTGTACCCTCAAAATAGGATGTAGCAGCCACTGTTAAGAGAATTATAATAATAATTGCCATTTTATATTTTATTTGGGTGAAAATTTTAGTTAAGTGGCTAATAGAAAACTTTTGTAGATGATACGGCCCTATTGCAGTTTTAGTAATTTCATGATTCATAGGTTATTTGTATGTTTTAGTTAGTCAAAATTTTTAAACATTATACTGATTATTAATTTTTTGTATTTTTTAAAGAGCTTTAGTTTATGTTTGAAAGGCAACATACCTGATGGAAAACAACAAAAACTGACTTCCTTTGTGATGAATTATTTATTTGTATCAAAGTATTAAGCAAAAGATTGCAGTATTTTGAAGTCAGACAATCTGAACCTAGGAAAGATTTTGATTATAATAAAGATGATTTGTGTAAGGGGAAAAAAGGTTATGATTATTGTTATTTTTATACATTTTCTGTGTATAAAAAAAGTCATTCCCATTGCTCTATTTTAACATAAACAGGCACATAACAGAAACCAATAAAAATTAACTTTACAGTAACAGGTGTTGTGATAAATGTATACCTGCATGACTGTTTCTTTTGCACTGAATTTATTTCATGCAAGTTCTGAATTCACCCAACCTCAGTTTTCTAATTAGTAAAAAATGGAATTGAAGACCACCAAGATGCCAAGTATACAATCACTGTGCAACCAAACAAGTTGCAACCATGTTTACAAACAAGGCAGCAAAGCTGTCAAATGGACAGACATGCTAGTATATATGCCAAAACTGATAGGAGTGACACTGTAATTTCATGTCAACACCTGGAAAATGTTGATTTGTGAAAAATGCTCCCCCCCCAAAAAAAAAAAAAAAAATTCAGAAAAAAAACCAATGAGGCTGGTTTTTCCATCTCAAACATCATAAGTGCTATGATTCTTTGAATCATTTATACAAACTTAAGGGTAATTAGTAACAAAACAAGTAAAAATCCCAGGAATATATGGCAATATCAGGCCATAACAGACTTCATCATGGATATGCAATGGTGGGGGGGGTGGGGGGGGGGGCATAAAGATGCAGGGACAGATCCAATGGAAGGATGTTGTTGATAGCTCATCTTAATTATAGGCCTGTGCAGTGAGGTTAACATTTTAGCATGGGTTATGGACTTTATAAGGTGTCGAGTTTGCTGTTTGCCATAAAAACATTAATTAAGACTTAAAGTGTGATATTTCTTAAGATGATTTTGTGCTAGATAGTTCCAAATAAGCTAGGACAAGATCAAGAAATCAAAATTTAAAGTTTATCATGCAAAACAACACCAATGCTGATTTGACTAGAATTATTTTAATAATATTAAAATAGCTGCAGTAGCACATTTATTCAGATTCCCATATCAGACTAAGAACAAAATGTCCAATATAAATTGCAATTTACATTAACATCTAATATCTCAATGTTCGTGAAAGAGAACAATTCCAACACTAACATCTGTTTCATCACTTTACATGAAAACATAAAAGTATAGTTCACATAATTTGTCCAAAAATGAGGACATGTCAATTTGGTTGGAAAATTTTTTGTTCATCAATACGAGTTGAGGCTAGTCGAGCATCTTTTCTCTTGTGTAACTGCGTTTGCATTTGTTAATGTATAACTTCACATTAAGGTCATGTACTGTATTTCATGTTTAAATCTTTTCTTTAAAAAGAACTTTCTTTTCCAAGTTCTTTATATTTTATATCACATAAATAGGTAGGTATAGCGCTATAAAGAGGAATGTTCTATCACTTCTTGCTTTGTTGAAGACATGGTGACAAATTTCCAACAATCTACGGCACATCTGAAAATAGAGAAAGAGCAAATTGTTACATAAATGCTGGTGGTTTGAAATGGCACTTTCGAAGAACATTCTGTTATATAATTTATAAGGTCAAATAAGTCAACACTCAAGGCAAAAATCCATGGGATCTAAGTGTCCATATACTAGTACTGGGGTACATGATTATACTTTTCACCAGTGAAGAGTCGGACCCTAACTAGTGATTACGATCATAATGAAAATCAATTATATGCAGGGTTTTAACTGAATATTTATAGCTATAGATTATTTATATCTATAGATACAGACAATTTTAAAATTTGTAAAAATTAATTGTTCAATCCTCTGATACATTAATTTTTTACTACCACTATACAGAAGATGATGAAAACCTACATCACTAAACTTGAAATTACCAGCATGTTCAGATTTATGCTTCTACCTGCAAGCACACAAGCATGCCCATGTACATGCACACGTACACACACACACGTATAAATTCACACTTACAGGCCGGAGCTTTATGCCTGGCCTGCATCTTCTTCTTCTTTGCCATGGCCATCTCTTCCTCGCTGTCAGTGCTTCCATCACTCCATCCATCATTGTCCTTCTTTAGTCGGGGAGTCTGGAAACGGGGTAATTTTGTATTAGTATTACTTTAAATAATTAATGACACTGACCCCTCCCCCTCCCTAAAAAAGAAAAAAATGGGTGAACAAACTATCACATAGAAACAATATAAGGTAATACGAAATGCAGTTTTAAAGTACTCAGACATAGTATATGATTATCCTTAAAATGGGAGTTTTCTACTTACTATTCTTATGTCTTCCACTTGTGTTAGAGAGACTGTAGAACTATTTGATGCCCGTGAAACAGCACGAGAGTTTGCTATGTCTTCATCTTCTACTGCTGTTTGCTTTTGGAATGTATTTTTGACCTCGTCACGGAATGAATTTCGCCCAACACCAAATGTAAGGAAAAAGAAGAAGCCCTGAAATTGAAAATTCATTTGATTTGTCACTTATATTTGATAAAATGCAAAAAAGTACAATTAATTTATTTTTAATTTTTTTTATATTGTCATTGCCTTCTAGGATAATTTCAGTGTACAATCCAACTGCTTTCAGTTGCAAAAAAATAAATGCAGTAGATCATATATAATGAAGACTGTTTAGGACCGGAAATTTGGAGAGGCAAGCAAGAATTTGACTTAAATATGCAATGTTCCTAAAATTTCATAAAATGCCAGACAAAACCCTTCCACCAGATTTTGTTCAAGTTAAAAGATAACAATAATAACAGGTTATAAGGCAATGAGTTATATGGAGCCCACCAAATTATCATAATTATTATTCATCTGAATATAATTCTGTCTAATTACCTGGAATCCATTGAAGATAATGAAGGTGAAATCAAGAGCCCTGTCTGCGGGGATGGTAAGGGATATGATTCCAAATAACCATGTTAGTCCCAGATACAGCAACAGCAGCATGATGTTTCTTATTGTTTGTCTGAAACAAACAATTGATTCATTAAGCAGGACATTTCCCAATGCATTGGAAAGTGGTAAGCATTTTATCAATAAACACTTTCTTTTTTAAAAAAGGTATAATTACTCAACCTTTGAAAAGTCACTCTCTTGTTATAATATCTGCAAAATGTTAATCTACCTTTTTAATGCACTTTGAACTGTGCATATGAAATTTCTGATCACATTTAACAAATTCATGCGTTGAAATGTATAATTTTCCGTCATGTCCTAAATATCTAGATTTTCAAATAAATCCAAAATACTTTCTTATCTATTACTTACTTTACTTCTAATAAAATATCTTTCTTTTTGATGGCTGGGGCAGAGAAGTTACACATCACCACCAAAAGGATCAGTGCTGTCAACTAAAATGAAAAACATACTGGTAATGATATTGTGAAAATCATTTGAAATCACAGAAAATCTGGAATTTCTGCTGATTCAGAAACAATTTCTGTTGAAGTAAAATGACTAAAATTTTCTCAGTTCAAGTCATATCATTAGTAATGGTATGAAAAAATGAAATATAACATACAATTGTCTATCTTCCACAAGTTGAAATAAATAACATATTACTTAATTTTGACGCAAGTAAACAACACATCAAGAAAAGAGAAATTACTATTTTCAAGTAATTTCAATTCCTTAGAAAAACCAATGATACTTTTATCCAACTTAGCAAAAATGTTTAAATAAACTTAATAAAAACTTTTAAGAAAAATGAGAAAAAATTCATGACACCCAACAGCTCATCAATAGTTCCCCTCATTTTTTAATAATTATTATCCTTGAACAAAACTACTTTAAAAAGTCTTAACAGTTTCCTGAATCAAAAACTTCAAAACAACATTAGAAATAATCAACTGCCAAATATATTTCTGGAGGGTTTTGGCCACTTAATCACAGACATTAAGCAAAAAATAAAAATACTCACCACCATGAAGGCAATGATGGCGCCAGGGAAAGCCCAGAAGTACATGGTTTCATGGGATAGCCAGCATCTTTCCTTGTGACCGTGATCTGGGAGAGCTACAACAGCCACACCAGTCACAACCAAGGCTGGCACACCTGAAATTAAGTTTGATCATTTGTTATATCAAAGGCTCTTTTCTTCTTTTTTTCAAATTATGCATGTGTTTAAGTCTTTTCACTTTCAATTTAAGTTGGTTATGACTGTATCCAAAATACAGAAGTATGTATTGAATGGATAATGTATCAAGAATTAAAGTATGCTATACATATTTTCAATTAATAGCAACCTATTGGATTGTACAATAATATAAAATAGAAGAAAAAATACACATTATTACCAACTGAAGTCATAAATGATTTTACATATATACAAATATGTAAATTATATTTTGCAAGCTATAAAAGTAAAGCCCACTATATTCTTTAAATTATTTTCATTTCTGATATTAAAAATTGAAACTAGAAACATTCTAAGATTTTTGTCACAAAATGCATTACATACACCATAACTTATCACGCTAAAAGAAATAAAAAAGCATTTAGTATACAAAGCAGAACTAACCCCAAGCGACTGGCATGTAAATTTTCAGAGCTCTCTCGGAGAGCACTCCAGAAATGATGATAGAGAAAAGGCAGACAGCCTCCATTACCAACCAGGCAAATGATGTCAGGTAGAAGTAATGCATCAAAATGGAGAGAGCCTGACAGTAAACCTGAAACAAAACACACAATTTATGCATAATCTATACAAAGTATCTGACATGTTTAATTTAGGTTACAGTTACCATTTGATAAAAGTAACATAAGAGTTTCTGATAATTTTTAATTATAACCACATCAAGAACATGATCATATCATTTAAATGCCTTAAAGTGACTACTTATATTTCAATGCAAGAGAAATTAGATCAGTAAATAATTTTTTTCTAAAAAAAAAAAAAAAAAAAAAACTTACCAGGTGATCTTGTGCTGTCCACAAGAGACAAAACCAGAGACTGGCAAAAAAGATGGCCACTGCCAGATTGATGTCCGCTATTCCTCGATCATCCAGTAGTCTCCTGACATAAACATGATATCATATAACATTTACAATGTGTAACTGCCTAACAATTACAAGTGCCAGTTTGATATAAAACACGCCAATCTCTCTCTCTTTAAATATAGAGACCAAGCAGTTTGCACAATCAAAATTGAGAGTTCTTCTTGTGTCAACAGGACCAATGAAGTGTCTAAGCAGATTGAGCTTTAAATGATCATAAATCATTGTTAAACAAACAAATACACTGAAACACACCATGGTTTTACAGTAGATGATTGGCAAGTATACCTTTGTGGGATAGACAAAAAAGTATGTACTTACTCCCATGCTTTGACTAGTATAACAATGAAGAAAATGAGGGATCCCATTGATATCGCCATGGTAACCCAGGTAATTATGCTCAAGGCCAGTTTGAAGTGGTCAGGCTGAAAATATGATAAAAATATTGTTTCATGAAATTTCACGATGAAAATATGAAATTAAGATTTGTTATTGTTGTGTGTATGTGAGTGTGTATGTGTGTTTAAGAAGTCAATCTATTTAAGTGAAACAAGAAATCACTTGCTTGGCTACTGATTGATTTATCCATCAATTTCTTAAGTCTTTAACTTTATTATTTTACAAATATTTAGCGCATCTACCAACTCATTATCCATTTATCTAACTTATTAATTGTCATCAATTCACAGCTTAAAACTACATTCTCTCTGATACAGCTCCATCCTACTTTATTTATGTCTAAACCCACACACGTACTTGTCTATAATCAACAATTAAATTTAGAAAATGCTTAACAGTTACAACCATACAACATAAACATATTAGATGCATTTTCCTTTTTACTGAATCAGAAACAAAAATTGGCACAATTATTAAATTCTGTTTTTTCCACAACATAGTGAAACGCCAGTTTAAAAAAAATTACATGGTATTACCTCTGTCGTATCTTGGTCAAGCAGCACAGCAAAAGTGGTGAAATGATAACAGTGACACACAGTGTGGGTGACATTTGTACTGTTCCTCTCACATCCATCTGATGCCCATCCGGCCTTAACATTCCCACTAAAAATATGCCATTTATTCTTATAAAAATGATGATGATAATAAAATCTATCAAACAATATTCCATTTGCTTTACACTGAAAAAATCTTACCCCACTGTAAACAAAATAGGACATATCAATTTGAAGATGAATAGATAAAATACATATTTTTAGCCAAGAATAGTAACTTAAATTTCAGGGAGGCCTTCACTCTAAAATCAAATATCAAAATGATTATACACTTGAAGAAAAAAGTTAATTTACTGTAATATACACAAATAATTAAATATAATATTACATTAAGTTTCTGGACTTTCTTCTATTTTCTCTTTTCTGAAAGGGGGTTTGGTATATGCAGACAATCCTTATTATGTAACAATTATTCAATTCTTCTCTCTAATCACCACAAGTATTGGCATACCTTGCCTCCTTCCAGTAATTACATGACCTTTGTCCACTGGCAGTTTTGTCCAGATGTTCAAGAGTAAAGACAACAGGCGAGGCAAATGTTGTCCCTGATGGTAATTCCGGAACAATGAACATTTCCACTACACGACTGTGCACCTTCACCGACTTCATGGCTGTCTCACCCCTAGAAATTGTGTATAAAATCGGATTGTTTATGATGACAGAAATGTATTTTTAAGTTATGCATATATTAAGTGAAAGAATCTTTTTTTTCAAATTCATTCTTTTTTGTACCAAAATTAAAACTCAACTATTCTAAGTGTATTGAAAAATAAAAACATGAATTCTGACCGCATTACCAGGAAGTCTACTTAAAGTATATAAGTTATCTAATTAACTTCTGACATCTGTATCTAATATTGTATACTTAGGGAAATAAAATAATTGTTTTGCAATAAATACTTATAAAAATAAGTGTACTGTAATAATCATAAATGAAAAAAAAATCTTTGTTGAGAAATGTTAACTTACTCAGCTTGCTCATTTGAGATAGATTCGTGGGCTGTGTTGGAAATGATGATGCCAATCGTGAGTCCACTTGCACCTAAGTATGACAAACAAATTAATAAACTCTAAGCCACAACTCCAGAAAAGATTAAATCAAATAAGTAAAGCCAAAGAGCTTCAAATACGAAAATATCTATTTATTGTTGTGTGTTATAACAAACTGGAACAACTGATAAAAGGATATAAGGAAAAAAAAAAGAGAGAGAGAGAGACGGAGAGAGCTGGAACTACGTGGGTATACTACATCAGTGCCATATGGGGCATTACAATCAGTGTAGAAAGAGCTGTGCCTATCTCTTTAGCACTGAACATAATTGCTATGTTATCATCATTAACCATTCACAGTTAATTCACAATTAATATGTTGTGTTCACTAACCTGGGATCAAGTTAGGGGGCACAACAATGGAGTCTTGGGGTTGTCCCCATCCCTCCAAGGTACTGTTCACATCTGAGCTTTCTCGCAGCGGGAATGTCGTCTCCTCTGCACACTCTGGGATCACATCAATCATGTTCAAGACTGAAAAGTGGAATTAATTTTTTTTTAATCTACTGATGTTTTTCTTCAACTTAATTAAGACCACTGAAAAATGAAATTGTGAACAGAATGTTTTGTTTTGTATATGAAGAAAATTTTTCTGCTGTTTTTTTCTGCTCCTTCTTGACATGACATGACAAAAAATGACAAGATCATGATATGTTTCGTTTCATTTCATGATCTTGTCATTTTTTGTCATTTCATGATCTTGACATGACATGACAAAAAATGACAAGATCATGAAATGAAACGAAAAATATCATAACTAAAAATATATAATTACCCATATTCTGAGACACTGTGTTGCTTGCAGAGCAGTTTGTCACTGGTGGCATTTTCTCTGCTACACGTGTTATGTACTTTTTCAAATTGCTAATCTGAGATGCAACGTCAGCATTGGCCTACATAACAAACAAAAAAGCCAAAAGTCACCACTTTTCTTCTCAAATTTTACTAAGCAAAAAATTAAAAAATTCTTAAGTTTATTTTCATTGGTACTTTTTTTAAAGATAAACATAAGGCTTAATTAAATCCTTGACCTACAACCATCTCTGTTTAAGGAACTTTATATTTAGTTTCCTCTTATTAGGAAATATATGTTCTAAAACTGTTTTCTTTTTCAATATAAACTGGTTGTTAAGAGTAACACTAAAATGGCTTTACAAATTGTCTGACTGGTTTAACAACTTAGGACATGAAATTTGAATAATTCTCATTATTCTTATATCTAATATTTACCACTGTAATTTGCTTTAGATTTTCTGCGTTCGATGCATCGGTATTTTGACTGACTGCATCCATGGCAGCCTAAAATAAAAGATATTTGTAGACTTCATAGAAATGGAACTTACTGGAACCTAATACAGGACAGATTGCTGATTACGTATATACTATACACACAGGATTTTACTTCTGAATCAAGTAAAGGTAAGAGACATCAGAGTTATGTTAACACTAACACTACAGGCTATTAAATTTCTATAAGTAAGAGTATAGCATCTCAAGTTTTCAACCAAAGTATTCATTAAATATCTGAACAGTTTTGTCTATGTTTTGGTGAAATTAATTTTAGTTTGTGCCTTACCAAAAGATGGCAGCACAGAATCAAAGTTACAAAGTCAAAGCAGGCTGACCTACCCTTCCCAACATTTGTGATATTGCATGTTTACTTATTAATAGCATATAAAATTGAGAATATAATCATCCCAGCAATAATTCATTGATTTACCTGAAAACGGTCTCTTGCATTTTGCCTTGAGATGGAGGCCGGAAGATCAGATGTGGCTAGTACTCGTATAGCAAGTGCAACTTCGGACAACTGTGTTGCTGTCTTTGGCTCATTTTCACTATTAGCAGTGGTTTCGTTGTTAATATCTGACACTATAGCCAAAGCTAATGTCTCAGAAAGAGCAGTTTCATTCCTTTGCGAGCTTTCTATGTTATTTGTGGACATCTGCAAATAAAATTAACAAGTTTGTTTATATTCTATTGCTTTACAAACTTAGTCAGGAACTGAGGTGAAAGTGACCTCAGTTCAAAACATGATAAAAGATTTAAGCTACAATCTGCTAGTAAAAACTGTTAGACCCCATTCCCAGAGATTAGAACGATCCAACTAGATCGACCTAACTCCCTGGGGGTTCATGCTAAATAGCTGTCAGCCGAGCGGGCACAAAAGTTAATTACCCCCTTACAGCTCGTAGTAGGCGGACGGACATTTAAGCCGGATTATCTGACAGTAATCTAGTGAGACTCCCCACGGGGATAGATCGATCTAAAATCTATGGGAATGCGCCCTTAAATTCAATATAAAAGACATCATCAGAGAGCTAAAGGCCATACATTAAGAAAAAAACATTTCATAAGTTTTTAGAATTTTTAGTAGCAAGTATGAGTTTTGATATATTAATAAGTTACTATGAAATATCCCATCATCATCACAATAGCAAAATTTAGGTTTCCAGAATTTGAAAGTCAATGGTTAAATTTTGAGCCATGTTGTTTTTTTGCAGGGATGTGGACTGAAAAACTGTAGTCCAAAAGACTTTTACTCTGAAGGGTATTTTGATTTGGCTACCATCAACCAAGATTTTGATGACTTAGGGTGTAATATTTATACATCAACTTACCGCGTCAAACAATGCAATGCGGTTAGTGTAACATGTGCCCTTGTAGAACAGTGCTGGGGAGCAGGCTGAAAATAAAGCAATAACATTTAATTTAGCAATTTCCATCTTTTCCCTGACCATATTAATAATTATAATTATGTTCATAATAACACGTATCTGAACACCATTTATCTACGACATTAATTATATCTCCTTCCTGCCATTATTATTATTATTATATTATTATAATCATTATTATTATTATTATTATTATTCATAATATATCTGATATCGCAACATCATTAATTAAAGTACTGGAGGACCAGTTCCAAACATTCCTAGCTGTACTAGCAGTTGTAGAAGGGTGTATGACAGTGGGTGAAAAAAGGGGGTGGGGGTGGTTACCTGGACCTCACTGCAGTGTAATGTTGTAAAAATACTACTGTGCTAATATTTTCATACCGTAAGCTTACAAGAAACCAAGACATAGGCCTTCATCAGACCGATGTGAGCGAGTCAGTGAGTAACAACATCTACTCACATCAGTCTGATGTAGGCCTACGTCCAGGTTGGCCATAAGCTAACCATATGAAAATATTTTAGCTTGTGTTTTATAATTGTGAAATTAAACAAACTTTATTACCTGTAAGTTGAAGGGACACAATGACCCCTGGGATTGCACACTCTCTCATATAATCTCTCACTTAACCATGGGGCCATAGTAGAATTATCATATATAAGCTGATGAACATTTTTGCTCATTATAAATCTACTTTATAACCTTAAAGGTCCAAACACTACTTCACTTACCAGCAGTTGTAGAAGGGGGTACAGTGGTGGGTATTACAGCAACAAAGGGGGTGGGTGTAACCGTGGTAACCTGAACATCATTAGTGTCCACAGTAACTGAAAATGGAGACATTTTGTGAATTTAAAACATAGTTAAAGCATATCATACAATTGTTATATTTTAATAACTATATGACATGTATAATTATAAGAGTTCAATATTTAGTTTTTGAAATAGGCAGAAGTGCTGGTGAAGATTACAATAAATTCATTTAAATTAACAAATAAATTTTATACAAATATATCATAATTATAATACTCATAATTTATTATGTTAAACTGTGTGTAATACACAGACAAGTTTCTTACTAGTGGTTAATGAAATAGGCTGAAGTTAATAAAGTTTACAATAAATGCTTTATCAAATATAAAACCAAACTGAGTTAAGGATCTTTTACTTAATTGTGACAGATATTTTGTGTTATGAGAACTTGTAACATAACCTGCTGCAACACTGTGGTCAATATACATGACTACAAAATTCAATGTTGTGAACATTTACATTATTTGACTCTTACATTTTACTGTGATGAATTATTGAGCATTAGGTTACAGTACTAAGTAATTTGGTAAGATATGTAGTACAAAACACAGTGTGTGTGAGCTAGTTTCTAAGTGTTCAATTTTCTGAAAGTAATATAAATGTTCCTGACATAAAAAGAGCAGTAAATAAAATTAATTTATTTATTTATTAATTAAAAATTATTAAATTAACAAATAAATTAATAAATTAATCCTTACCAACACTATCACAGCTCTCTCCCTTAAGAATAGTTCTTGTTAAAGGATCACTGAAGTTGGAATACTGATTGTAAAAGGCCACACTGTCGAATACAATTGTCCCAGGGAATGATGGACTTTCGATGAAGTTGGCCCGGGCTAAGAACACATTACTGGTGGCTGGGGCAGGAAGGGTGGCAGGCTCTCCCACTCTGTATGCGTTTGATGGTGGATCTGAATTGTAAAAATTTGAAAGTAAAATTTGCCAGAAAAAAAATGTATGCATATACAAAAATACTAGAAAATAAAAAATCATTGTGCCCAAAGAAGATTTTCAGTGCAATAGCTTTGTCACTGTCTTCAGGGTAAACCTATAGGGGATTACTTTATGCCTTACAGGTAAAAACACATTAAAGCACTATAGAAATAAATCACTTTTTAATCAAATATATTTTAATTAAAAAAAACATTATAAATGATTGAATCATTCCGTGTCAATTCCTGCTGTGAAAAAACAGATGCTCAAGAAACAGGCAATGAGTGTATAAAATTAATAGACGTCATATTTATAAGTTTCCTATACACTGATCTTTATGTTATAGTTATAATGTTTCCCAGCTTCTTCATTTTCTTATCTCCATGTATGCGAACAAAGCAGGCATTCTTTGAACTTAAAATACATAGAAACTGGATTGGATGGCTCATACCTGAACCTCCAGATAATTTACTGACCTTTTCTTACATCGTCCAATAACATGACCAGTCCCTCTGTGTTTGTCCGTCTCCAGGTCAGGCCTATGGTTATCCACTGGTTAATGGGAACGCCGGTCACTGTAGCATCCCATGTAGTGGTCCCATCATTCAGGTAAGCTCTGACTTGGAAGAACACTCCTGAAATCTTGAAGGCAATTGCAATTCCTCGGTTGAGTCCATTACCTCCAACTTCCTTATTTTGGAAACTGTAGCCAGAGCTAGGGAAGAAACAAGGAGAAATATAACGGCAATAAAAAATATTAATAATAATAATAATAACTATAATTGTTATATTACATTATTCCTTCTAGAACAAACAGATAAATAAATCTTATAAAATGCATTCTTTAAAATCTCAGTGCCCCAAATAAAACAAATATTATCAAAATCTGAAAATTTCTGACACTATTAAAGCAAAATATATAGTGACTTTAAATCCAAATCCTTTACTTTAGTTTTAATCATCTAAAAACAATTACAACATTTTGTAAGTTTCTTTTAAAATAAGAGGAATCATGTCAAGTGATAGCTCAATATTCTAGTTGCTTTACAATGGGATAAGGAATATTGTGGATGATTTTCCAATATTTTCCACCCAATGGCACAAAATGCACATTACGCGTATTAAACAAAAGCTTTGTTTTTAGACTGCACATGATCAAAATGCATCTTATGGTTTACCTAAATAGGTAGTCATAGTTATTGCTTCCCCTATTCTTCAGTTTCACCTTAAAGGCAATGGTGAATCCATCAGGACAGAGAGCTGGGTTACTCAGGCAGGTGCTCACAGTGCCTGTATAGAGATATCCATTTTTTTTTCAATAATTTCAAAGATAACTAAGTTGTAATAAAATCTGTTGAAAAGTATTTTACCTCATCCATCAAACAAATGTGGTTACATGGCCCATAGTGGTATTTTTATCTATTAAAATAATTAACCCAATTCACAACTTCGCATGCTTTCAAATTCATGATGATATGCATACTTTACAATTACAGTGAACATATATACAGCACTAAATCAGTGCTTGGGTATTTTCAAGAATTTAAAGACTTAATGATATTATAACATAAATGAATCATAATATAATATTATTTTACTATGGTACCTATATTGATGTAACCACTCTGGACCAGTATGGCTCCATTGGCCTTGCCATTCCTGTCTGCAGCTGGCGTTGTTCCACTCTTTGCAAGATACTGTTCCGCAGAGGTCATACCGAAAGAACTGGTGGCGGATGCAAAACAGGGGTCTGAAAAATTAATTTATTTAGTATCATGTATACAGGAATCAAGTATATTAGGAAATGAAAGGGGGGAAGGGGTATTCAATATGCCTTCACCTCATTTTCAATATGCACACAAAATTAAATCAAAAGAAATGCTGATATAAACACATTTATGCAAGTTACTCTGAGTACTGCCAACCTAGCATTGGTGTTGATTTACACAATAAAAGAAATGGTTTCTGTTATTTTTATAATCATTTCTTGGAAAAAAAAACATTTTAAGTTAGATTCAGTTCAAAATTTATGATACTTAGTTTATAACATCACTGCAACTGGGTTAATATTAAATTGTCATCTCTTAGAGACTTGCTTTTAAGTAATGTTTTGTTTTATTCTATTTTATAAAAAAAATTATCCCTTTTATATCTTTTGGTATACGAACACAAATCTTTATTCACATCTGTCATAATTCCATCTTTTTGGATGAATAGCCAACTTAATATATTATTCATTGGAACATAATTCATTGAATAATGCACTTAATCGGATAAGTAATATTCTTGTAGTGAATCAACACACCTGTGAATGTAAATAGGAAGTCTGATGTGTAGCTGATTGTGATCTCATCAAAATGTGCATCAATTGCAATGGTGGCTGTAGCAAATGGTCTCCCCAGATAGACAGGGTTGTTGTCAACAGATGGCGCTACATTTGCAGCAGACGTCTGAAAGATTTCACACAAAATATCCCCTAAAAAGTTGACTTAAATGCATATAAATATGGTGACCGAGGTCACTATTGAACCAGATATCTGTAAGAACTTAAATAAATTATCAATACAAATTCAAATTATAGTTTTTTCTTGGCCTGAAAACATATGGGACAAATTGCAGAAAGACTAGAAGAAAGACCAAACAAGTCCATAATTAAATCACATAACTCATTTGACCTTAAGCAAATGTATCAAATACTTTTGCTAAAATCAATATCAAATTTGTCAAGTGTTCAACATTTGCCAACTCCCTGTAATTTTTTAGAGAACTTGTATACTAGTAAAAGACTTACTAAAGCCTGCCAATTAACATCAAGAGAAAGTTAAAAGAGAAACATTTCCAAATACAACTCATTATTTACAAGAGAAAAAGGAAGGAAATCTATTTTTAAGCCCAGACCACCCTAATCTGATTTTTATGGCCATCTGCCCTTAAATGCATTTAGCTTCACCCACCGATCCAGAAACTTCCTGTCCATCTTTGTAGAACTTAATGCTCTGTGACTCAACAAGATCAGGTGACCATTGCAACACAAAATGGAACCAGGTGTCCACTGGGGCGTTGGTCATCACACGGGTATACATGCGTGTTCCTTTATACAGGCGGACACCGACCGAGGTGCCATCTTTCCATATCTGTACTCCACCTAGACAGTGTAAGATAGGCATTTTTTAAGTTAAAAATCATCACCAACTAGATTCATAGGAAACACTGAAAAGCAATTATATATACAAATTTGATAATATATTTTATGAGGCATGTATAAACAACTGTTATTGACACTTGCAAGAGACAAAAGCAATGATTCAGTTATAATATTCTAAAATTGTATTCTAAAACATACAAAAATAAAAATTAACATTTTTTTGTATTTAGGATGATTTATGCAATTGAGGATAGTTTAAATACACAGTGAACCAAAGTTATATCAAAATGAAAATAGTCCAGAAAAAAACAAAAAAAAACAAAAAAAGGTTTTTCTTTTTTCACCTATCCATTCCGTACCTGAATTAAAAAGTGCAGCAGCAGAACCTGAAGGTGTTGTCGGCAGCTTCATGTAGAGACCAACAGAAATTCCTGAGGAGCAAACATTTATATCCTTGATGCATTCTCCGTTGAAATTGCCCAATGAAGCATACCCTCCACCTGATGTTGTTTTCACACCTTGCCCCGAAGAGATATCTCCTTCTTGTATGGTGGCGCCACCATGTGTCGTTAGCTGCTGATCACTGAACTTGCTGATTGGTCCATCCAGGGCCCAGTAGTAGTCATTCATGTTAAATTTATCAATCTGGGCATCTGGGAAATAATAAAAAGATAACAGTCAAATACAAATTGACAAAAATGATTTGAATTTCATTATCCTAATTGTCAAGTGTGGTTCGTACACTTCATGATTGGAAGAGGGCATATAATGCTCCAAAATGAAACAACTTCAGGTAAAATTTCTTCTGTCAGCACATTTACCTGACATGCCAGTAATTCTAAAAGGTCTGTTGCTCGGAAGAACTGCCATTGGCCAAACGTGCACGCTGTAAGCTTTCATGCTTACCACTCGGGCATCCTGACCCGAATGGCAACCAAGAGTAAGCATGGAGTTTGCAGGCATATTCAGTGGCGATGCTGTGGTGCCCGTCGTGTGAACGCCTTCCATGACGCCATTGATGTATGCCACCAGACCATCGACTGCATTCCATGTGAAACCCACATTGACCCATTTTCCCACTGGAACCATCTACAAAATGATGAAATTCGTTTTTTCATAAGTTTGAAAAAGGTACTGACACAGACATAAAAAGAGCAAAGGATAATAATCATTGTTTTAACAAATTAAAATACTTTTGACCCAAGAGCAAATATTTCTAAGAAAAGACTAAATATTTCAAAATCTCAAAAATTTTAAAATATATTCAGAAAAAATTTTCTACTTGGCAAGAATCTTTATAGACATAATCCTTCCTCTATTTATACTATTACCCTATCTACATTGGGATATCCAGATCATCTTATATAACAATCACCATCATTTTTCAGGGTTGATTCTACTGTCCATAACATGTATTTCATCATCCAAAAATAGAAGCTTAAAAACATTTTTGCTTATATCAATAACTGGAACAACATAGCAAGAAAATGAGTTGACTAAAATATTGTCAGCAAATGTTATCAGAGAAGGATTAAGTTGGCATGAACATTAAATTACCCTTCAACATAAAACAATTACTGAAGGTGTCCACATCCATGAAAAACACACTTACTTTAGAGCTTGTCTGTACTGTCCAGTCTTTGGCCTCACTCTTCACAACGAACTGCCAATACTGACCATACAGTGACATACTGAACCCTGTCTGGCTTGCAGATGTGAAAGTCCTGTAAAACAACGTTTCCTTTTACTTATTAGTCATTTTACTATATCATCTTATGACCAAGAAATAACCAATGAATTTTTAAATCTCTGCATTTATTATAACTATTATACCAGCATCATCATCATTATTGTTATTCCTCTTAATTTTTGTATGACTGTCACCTTAGTCATCATGTTACACATGTACCTATTAAATATTATTATAATCCTCATTTGGCAATTTAAATCTTGTCCATAATTTGCTGTTGTGGAAATTCTAATTAATTTTTTTCATATAAGTATCACCTGATAAGCATAAATTAACCACTGTATTTCCTTTAACATTCACAAAAACAAAAACCCACCTCAGTATTGTGTAAGTATTATTGACGGTATCATTGCCTTGAAACTCCCAATTAACTTCATTTATTTTAACCCACAGGGCCACTGTGAACCCAGAACAAGCTGTTCCTGGATTGGACAGACAGGCACCACTTGAGTAGGCAGCTAAAAAAGAAGAAGAAAAAAGAATCAGAATTTGCAATGAGGTTATTATTTGGAATTTTAAAATGGCATTATTTCTTGGTCTTGAGATTTATCATATGAGACAAAACAAAGATATTTATCCATTCCTGTGTCCTACATGTTGCCATAACTTTCAAAATGTCTTTATCCATTTAACACTTCTATATAATTATATGCCTACCTTCTATGTGTAAAAAAAATCTTAATACCCCCATACCCCTTTAGATAAATCCTGGATCTGTCAGTGTTTATTAACCTCCTGGCTAATAAACTTACCTAATTTTATATTACTACACAGGCTGCTGTTGAGACTGTTAGAAATGGTGACCCCAGAGGCGAGGTAGGAGACTTGATTGTGTGCCCCGAGTCTGCCAGAGCTCTGTGTGAGAGAGTAGTCCTCAAGGTCTGCTAAATGGCTGGACAACATGCTTTTTGGATTCCAGTTCAAGTTAGAGCCTATGTCTTCATAGTAGCTACTCTCTGTAACAGACAGGAATGTAGAGAGCATTATCAAAGTGCACATTTTTTCTTCCATTTGTCTCAAAAAAAGATGCTTTTTACAACTGCACATCACCACAAAACTTAATCATACTACACTTAATAAACCTAATTATAAGGTTTAACAGTAAAATGTAAAATCTCATATGATTTTTTATTATTATCATCATCATTTTGATTATTATTATTAATTTCAAAACACTACCAACTTATCTATCTAATCTATCCATCTATCTATCACCATTTATTTCTTCATTTATTTTTTATTTATTTATTCATTAATTCAAAACCATTACCTGGCAGTTTAAACTTGTCTCTAAAAAGGTACTCTGGCACAAACTCCTCGTACACCGCTATGTCTTCGAAGGTGAAGTCCACCTCAAACCCCTCCATATCATCATTTGCATTACTTCGCCCAATGGTGATACGATCAAGATAATCCACCAGCCGAGACTGAGCCTTGGGTGTAGTACTGGATCCGACCACATTGCCATTTAAGAATGTTAAAAGACCATCAGTTGGGTTCCAGCTAAAACCGACATGCATCCACTGGCCTGGAAAAGTGAATGAGACAGGGATAATAAATAAATAAATCAATTAATAATATTTTGAAGATGGCATAAATAATATTATATCATAAAACAGTATACAAGGAAAACTGAAACAAAACAATCAATATCAATATTAAATGCTCTTTTAAGTTTGAAGTATTTTTCCATGTTTTGGCAAAAAAAACATAATGCAATTATCTCTATCCAAGATCAAATGCAAAAACTCTTACAACAAAAAAAAATCCTCAAAAACAAAATTCGCATGCAAATGCATTATGCAAAAACCAATCATTGTCAAACAATGATTGCTATTCCAATAATTTAAATAGCAGGTATAAATGTTCAATATGGCCACCAATTACTTAAACAATGCACATATTATCTTGGCATGATTAATGGAGACTTCGATCACCTAAATGATCTCTCCTACTGAGAGTAACTATAGGATTCAGGCTGTTTGTTTATCGAATACTGCAAAACATACAAAGTGGCGAATTGATCACCAAACAAAATCAATCAAATATCTTGTGATCTCTGCCATGTGTCTATCAATGGGTACAACTGATTATATAGCATTTCAATGTGATCAATAAAGTGATCGATCACTTATCCTTTTCATTTGATAGTTCAATAATTGCCTCCACTGGCAATGAGCTTTTATGCAACATTTAGTGTAAAAACAAGCTTAGAATGAAGGTCACTGACACCAAGTTTGATTAGTTTTCACAGCCAAATTATGACAAAGAAAAAAATCATCTAGAATCAAATACATGCATGGCGCCATGTATTGTTAGATTCTACAACCCAAAGGCAACAAATGTTTCTCCAGCAAGTTATACAAGGTTTTCAACTTTTTTATATCACAGAAGAGAGAAACGACTTCTCAAAGCTTATTGCAATCATAATCTCACAAGAAGCTCACTTCTTAATAACCCTTGTTAATCCTGTAAATGTTGTTACAAGTAATATATTACATTTTATTTTAATTATGACCATGTTATTCTGTCTGTTATATTCATTATATTGACTTCTATTGGCTGTATGTTATCCAGATATACTTACCTGTAGTAATACGGCTTGCTTCAATTTTGGTAATCCAGGTGTGTGTGTTTGTAGCAAGATATGTCCAGATGGCACCACCTGACATGGAAATAAAGAAGCCCTCTGATTGGCTGTGCTGGGCACCAGAGCAGATGATATACTGGTGTCCTGTCACAGTGGGAATGGCGTTTATCTTGAGGTACATGTTAAAAGAAAGCCCCGTGTTGCACACACTTGGCTTACTGAGACACGAGCCTGTGAATTTACCGACGGTCTGGTCTATGGTTTCATTGAAAATTTTTCCTGGAATTTGAATGAAAAATGTAATCACTCAGTGAAAAGATTAATTAAATGGACTTAATCATTATGAGCTACACAAATTGGCAAATCTGTCAAGTACTGTCTACAACCAGTTACCTTAAACATACAATAAAAATTTCACAACCACAGTTTTAATTTCTTTTTTTTTTTTTTTCAAAATCCAATACATCACAATGTTACATAAATTTTTAAAATAAGAAATTTGTAATTATTTTTTTCACAAATAGAAAAGAAAGTACCTAGAACCATCCAGCCCTCAGTATCTGGTGCAACCCTGATAGCTCTTCCCATTCGACCTGAACCAGGCACTAAAGCAACTGAGCTCCCATTGGTTATATACAAAGGCTTGGTTTTGGCGCCATCTAGGTCTACTACTAAATTGCTCCAGACATGAGATGCTGATTTTGTCAGTTTTACAACTCGTTCTAAAATGAAGAATGATTTTCATGTTATATACCTGAAAATGTACCAGCCTTAAATGATAAGTAATTAATAGTTATGACTTTTAATTAGCAGATATGGTAGTGTATATGCTTAATTAAAATTATAAATTAGTCTTTACAATTTGATAGATTAATTTTCAAATGATAAATTTTTCTTACTTCTTTCTGTAAACTTTAGAGTTACATGTAGAGTTACATTGATGTTTAAATAGGATTTTTCATTGATACACCTATCAGATACTTTGAATTTAGGCACAAACACACACACACACACTCATTCTTTCTCTCTCTCTGCACATGTCTTAAGTCATTTTCCTATTCCAAGTCAATTCTCTCACTCTTCATAACCTATTTTCTTACCATTCATTCCAAGGAAAGTGTCCCCTTCACATGGATACACATAACGTTCCCAGAGCACCACTCTGCTGGCCAGCGCCCCCTGGAGGCTGTCTCCACCATCGCCACCAAAGACAAGTATACCCGGCGCCAGAGTACCAGTCTGATGATCTGTGAATCCAGCCTTGGAAAAAATCAAAGAAAATGATCAAATAAACAAAGCAAGACTTCTGTAGAAGTTTATCTTTTAGATACTTCTGGCAGTACACAAGTTTTCTTAAACTTCATTTTGCTCTTATCGAGAAACTATTGAACTATTGCTCTTGTATTTCCAAAAACATAATGAATACGAACATACAACAACTCAAAAGAAAAAAAAACTCACCGTCTCCTCAGATGCTGTCCCAGCAGCTGCATCACCATCCACAAGTACAGATAATCCAAAATCTGGATGATACCCGAATCCCACATTAAACCACACATCCCTGGGAACACTGTTCACAGTGAATTTCAAGCCTTCTGATGAGCTAGACTTGCCAACTGAAATGTAAAGAAATGAACAACATATAAGTCTCCCACCACCACCACTTTTCAATCTTCACTCTATTTTACTTTATTTACCGTAGTTCTCAAATTACACAAAGGAATGTAATTTTTCTTTTCAATGTTTATATCATTCTATTTAATAAACATTATTCATTTGCTCAGTCATTTAATTATTTCTCTCACAGATTCTCTGATCAATGAGATTATGGCAAATTTTCACTTCTGCGATGGTCTCTCTCTCTCTTTCTCTCAATTAGGCCTAAATGTAGTATTTGAATGGGCTAAAAGTCCTTTTAAAATTAATTCATTTGAATAGCAAGGGTATTTACAAAAGTCATCATACAACTTGATTCGGACAAAAACAATGAAAATCAAAGGCTTATAGGAGGATACTGCACAAACACCAAAAAAAGTTTGGAATGCTAAAAGCCTGGAGCCTGTAGAGACTCATTATTGGGCTTGGGAGTGGGGGATACAATGCGGAACTCGTTTACTCTACCTCTCACAGTTAGCGTTCCGTTTTCCCAGAAAACTCCGTATCCCACGAATCGCCCACTTCCTGATGCGGCTCGCTGGTCGCACTGGATGATCGTGGACAGACTGTTGGCCGAAGTCGAAACAGTGGATGGAATAAGGAGCCAAGCGGCCATTGCCATTCCATCTGTACAACTGGCAATATCGCCAGCGCAGCGGCCGGCAAGGTTTTCCAACTAAAAATGGAAAAAGAATGACCTTAAACTCTGAAGCACATTTCTGTTCTTTTTGATGATAGTCAGTAAAATATTATAAGTGCAATATATTCTGTGCTTGCTCCCCTCCCCCCCTCCTCTTTCTCTCTCTCTCTCAGAATAGTGCGCGTAATGACATTGTGCGCAGTTAATTGCGCGTGTTAATTACAGTAGATAAATCCTCAAAGTGAACACTGTCTAAAAAACGTGTCTCACTTCATCCAAGAAACGTTTAAAAAAAGACTAGCCTGTCAATAATAATGAGCAAGTCTACCACAATATAGAACAATGTAATTGTCATTGTGTAATATAGGTATTTTTTATCTTATTATTATCAGCATTATTATTATTAGTATTATTATTCTTAATTATTATTTCCTTCCTTATAGTTTATTTTTTCCCACATTTATAAGAAATACTCCCAGTTGTTACTGTAGATTATGTATATAAGGTAATTATGAAACATAATTACATTTGTGTTTGAAAGCCTGATATCACATAAGTGGGATAATAGGTCTAGATATATAATACATGTATGTATAACACAAGTAGTTTAGAGGGCCTGCTAAATGTACTGAAACATTTTAGTGCTCAATAAATTATTATTATAAATACAGCCACGTGCTCTCTGATACAGTCACACAAAAACTGAAAGTCAAATTAACTTGTAAGAAAAATATTCGTTAACTATATAGATATACCTGAAGATAAGAACTAGTCGCGCCAAGTTCCAGGACAGATTTTGACGTCGCACCAGAACGCGCCGTGGACACGGTGTTGATAGTGCCTTGGACCGTGAAACCGCTGGTAGACTCCAAGCTGTACGATTTGGTAGCCACGTCGTAAAATGGTTCATGTTCCACGTCTATAAAAGAGACAATAAATTGGATATAAAATCAGTTTGTACATTTTTTACTAGATTTCATTACTGAACGTTCACCGTAGCTTTCAACCACTAAATTATTGCGTTTTTGTCCCAAAAATTTGGTATTTTGGACGGCGAACGGTGCCTTTTGGTGCGGTTTAGAAATATGATTCAGCTAGTAAAATTCTTATTTCAATTTTTTTTAGAAATCGAAGGGGGGGGGGGGCGGAGGTCAAGACCCCCCTGACCCCCCACCTAAATCTGCCACTGTTGATATATACAACAAGGCAGCAAAGCTGTCAAATGTACAGACAAAAAACAGAAAATAAAGATGCAAAAAAGGTCATTTTTGTCAATTTTGCAATAATAAATAATGCTT